CGGGCGACCTCGTACGATAGGAGAGCGGGCGTGAAAGGAGCTAAAGCGGAGCCTGAAGCGTGTTTTCTGTCACCTCGCGGTGTTGAACGCCCAGACGACGCCTTCAGCGGATCCCGTGCTGTGTTCGCAGGCGTGGGTCTGCTGCCGCGCTCGTCACCGTGTCCGGCTGGCGCCGGGGGCCGTGGGACGCTGCAACTTGATAGAAGTCGGGATAAGTCTGAAGTGATTTGAAGAACCGACTTTAAAATCACTGCGTTTTGAATGATCGGTGACTCAAATGCACTCATTTCCTAGGGAAAGCATAGGATTTTGACCACAGTTGTGGGTTTGGTTTTTTCGTTGTTTTTTTTTTTTTTTTTTTTTTTAAATATGATCCTTTCTAGAAGGAGGACTAATGCAGCACCTCGCTAACTTCACCCTGTGATTAGGATTTTTCATCTATTTTTTTAACCTCCAATGACGCTTAATAGATGAGGCCCTAGTAATTAAGGTACACGCGCTTCACTTTTCTGGCACGTAGAAGCCGGCGAAAGAAATTCCCTCTGCTGCCTCAGCATTAAAGGTGTGCTCTGTGCAAAGACCAGGTGTAAAGCACAGTGTGGCTGAGGATCTCTTAAGGTCTCGAGTTAAATTGCACGGTGAGGGAGAGAAAGGCTGGGTTTTGGATCAGCGAAGTAAGTAGGAATAGTTGCTGTGATCTGAACGCAAAACATTGTGGGCTGTGGGATCCTTGCAGGTAAAGAGAGAGTATCTGCTTTTTATAATATTCCTCTGCTTCCGCTTCAGTCACGTAGCAAATAAAATTCAGAAATAATTAAAACTCAGTAGGAAACTTTTTTCCAGCCTTTGCTGGACATGTCTACTACTTTGTGAGCAGATCCACGTGCCAGTAATCTTGAAACCTAAAACTTCGGAAGAATAAATGTTTGCCTTCTCTTATTAATATGTTCTCATTTTCCTGAAAGAAGCTGTGGTTCTGTTAAGGGATTGAGTTACTGCCAAACTGTGTGCTTCTCTTGATAATTCTGCAGATAATTCTTTCTACGCTGCTTTTAGAGGTGTAGATTACCTGTAGGGCAATGTGCATTATATTTAGGTGTTGCAATGACAAAGAAATCGCACAAAAATACGTAGTTTTTGCCTTTGCTGCATTTCTGGTTAGTGGCTGCTTTAGTTCTCGATATTTTTGTTTTTCCCTTAGCTCTCTTTCCATGTGAGCATTGTGTTGCTGGAGGGAATCAGCTTAGTGGTCTTGTGAGTCCCAGTGAGGCTGACTTAGCCCTTCAGCTTGGCAGGGGCAGATCAAGCGAACTGCACCCAGGATACTTCAGTTGCCTTTTTCTTTCTGAGTCACTTTAACTGAAGGATTTACCCATTTGCTATGGATATTGAGGTTTCTTTTATCACATTGTATAAGAATAGGAGCGTGTACCATGTTCCTAAAGAAAATTCCGCTTTATCTTCTGCTGTGCAGCCTGATAGAAAGTGGATGTCCTCGATACCAGAGGTATCTGCATTTTGGTGTCTGCGTCCGTGTGTACACAAATATGTACGAAGACCTAAAGAAAGGGCTCGGTGCAAGAGCTTGCTTCTTTTGTTATTGTTTGCTTTTTTCCAACTGTATAATACTGATTTATAGCCACAAAGTGCTCTTACAAGTCCTGGAAACTCCCACTCGCTTTAAGCGTCTTCAGCTCAGCCAGGCTGTCCCACTGAAGCTCAGCTTACCCCTTGTGTAACTGATAAAGGATCGAACGCATAATTTGCAAAGTGCTTTGCAATCTTTTTGGTAGAAGGTGGTCATAAATGTAGGATACTGTTAAGCTGATTATAGTGATTAGAGTATTTCACAACTTTGTATTTCACAACTTTTTGTATTTGTAGTGTATTTCAATCTCTGAATGCATCTGGATAAACAGATGAAAAGAATGCTTATCTACTGGGGAAGGGGTGTGATGGTGGTGGGGAACTGGTTTTTGTGGGGTTTGGTTTTTTTAATACTTACTTATTTCTTTTAAACTCTTACCAATTCATTAAAAAATGCCGAGTTTGGGAGTATTTAAGAAAATAAAAAAGCCTCCCTCCTTTCCCTGCCAATCTGCAGTAAACTAATGTTACACTTGTGCTGGAAAGAGAACTGTTTGAACTGGTTTAAAAGTCAGATTTAAACAACACTAGCTTGAGCTGACTTGAAAGATGAAGCATATATTTTAGCGATAGAACCAAAGTATATTAAGTTGTCTAAGCTGGTAGGACAGCATTTTCTACAGATGTCCCACTTTCACCTGTGGGCAGAAGGTCCAAGTTGTCTTGTTCACAGCAATCTCAAGATGTTCAGAGTAACTATAATTTTTTTTTTTTTGTATATTACAACATAAAGGGAAAAACTCCAGTTTTTCTCTTTTTTCCCCAGTCACCTGTTGAGGGTGTTTCAAACTAGTGTCGCAGATTATTTCAACAGTAACCAGGCAGTAGGTCTTTTGGCTTCCCTTGTCAGAGAAATTCACTGCCAAATTGATTTGAGGTCCCTTTGACCAATTTCCCTGTGTAGTCTATAACTAATCAGCAGCTTCTAGGTGGTGTTTTCAGAGGGAAGATACCTTCTGAAAGCTCTAGGGGAAAGAGATGTTTCGTTAATTCACATTTTCTAGTCCCACATGGGAACTGGAGCAGGTTGTGGCTTGGTAGTCTTACGTAGGATGTGCTAGAGGTTTTGTAGGCGGTAGGCCGGTAAGCGCATGTAACCCTTTCGGGGTTGGATTCAGAGGGTGAGCAGGTCAGTAGTGCTTTTAAATGGCTTTGCGATTTTGGATAGATCGGTGTAATCCAGCTGAGTTTGGTCAAATTAATCCTGATTTACACTGAGCGTGAGTGAGATCAGAATTAGGTTTCTGGGCTTTTTGTGTTGACTAATCCTTGTAGTGCACTGATTCAGAACATGAACCTGTGAAACTGGGGCAGCTAATTTTGAAGAACTTCAGGAATGTTTTTCATGTGTTCTAACAGGTGGATTTTTTCTTTCTTCTTTCTTTTTTTTTTTTTTTTTTTTTTTTTTTTTTTTTTTTTATGATTCAAGTAAAAGACCCGTGTTGGTTCTTCAGAATGACTCTCTCTACTCTCAGAGACGTCCTTACACCAGTGAAGATGAGGCCTGGAAAACCTTTCTTGAAAATCCCCTTACAGCAGCTACCAAAGCTATGATGAGCATCAATGGTGATGAAGACAGCGCAGCTGCCCTCGGACTGCTGTATGATTACTACAAGGTAGATTGGTGTGGGTATGGTCTGGCAGCCAGCAGAGCTCTTGTTCCACCTGTGGAAAAGGTGTCATTTGCTGGAGGATTTTACAGAAGCTATATCATGAGGACTTTAAACTATGCGGGTTTTAAATGGAAAAAATTCCATGTCCCTTTTTCTGAAAATTGGTTTATTTTTAGATCAGTAAAATAAGATCCCCTGGATCTTAATGTAATGGGTCAAAAGCTTCAGTTGCACTTTACCTGTCAACTCCAGGAGGTTCTGCAGGAGGCAATGTATTATAGAAGTAGTTGTGCCGAGTGAGACTTTGGGAGCATGTCCCTATCTGAATGGAAATATACATGGAGAAGGAAACTTCTCTTCTTTTGCTCACGTGATCCCTATTCCGGTGGAACCATTGGCTTTTGCTGGGGCTTTGATGTGCTACCTTAGTCTCAGCTGATGCTAAGCTAAACCTGCAGTTTTTGGTGGTGTGTGGGGCAGAAGTGTCCACCTGAAGGAGTTGCTGTCTGCATCCCTCTAACCTTCAGTGAGCTTCAGCTGCTGTAATCTGTTAATCCTTTGGCAGCTGTGGTCATCTTCCCCAGTGTTCACGGTCTTCTCAGGGACATGTGCTGTCCTAGATGTTCACAGGTGAATCGAACACTGTCAAACAGGTAACCTTCTGGTTTGTGTGGGATACATCTTGCTGAGCTTTCTTTCCTAAATACCAGAAGTCTAAGCCAGGGTAGTTATCTCTGCTCCATGTCCAAGTCAGTGGAGACCAGCAGGCATTTCCAGGCAGGGAGGCATCCTGCTTGTGTTAGACACCTGCATTACGGTGGCCTGGCTCACCGGGTGGAGATGCCTGTTTTTTCTTTACTGAGCATGCAGGGAGGCCAGGAGGCTGACTTGGCTCGCATGCCGGATGCTTTGGCTTGTGTCTTTTAACAGTAGTGAATGCAATTGCAAGCCTTGGTATGCTCTTCAAGCACAAGGAGAGGCTGCCTTGTGCATACAAAATCTTTGCCTCTCCTTTTAGGAATTGAACACGTCTTATGTATCAAAATGTTCTTGTAATGCTTAATATGGAGATTAGCACTCCACACACACGACAAAATGCCAGAAACTCACTGATGTGGATGTTATTCAGCTAGTTTTGTGAGAAAACCGGCTTTTTGCTTTGTCCCTGCACTTGCTATGCTCTTAGAAAAAAAAAAAAAAAAAACCACTTTCACCAGAACAATTTTAATCCACAAAATAAATTTTGATTCCTAAACCTGTAGATTACAAAGAGAAGGTTGATGTTGATCCTTCACGCTTGGCAAAGCAGAAGGGATTTGCTGTACATTAATGTCTAATTCGGGGTTTCCTCTTATGTTTGGGTGTCAGTGGGTGTACAGAAAAATCAGTGGGAGAACAGGTATGCTGCACACTTGAGTGAAGCAAAATGGTTAGAGGTTGAAAGATTTATTGAGGGCTGTTACGAAGTAATGCTAGAGGGGTGATGTCTAGGCATTTCTAATACACCCCCTCACGATATTAAAGGCAGCTGATGAGATCACCTTCGTATTAAAAAAAAAAAACCCAACAAACCCAAACAACAAAATCAAACAATTTGAGTTTTCTTCCATTTAACTAATGGGCTCTCCTGATTGCTCAACTGTGGTTAATAAGGCCTTATGGGAAACAAATTTTTGATTGAAACCTAGAGTTTAGGAGTGTTGGGCTTGAGGCCAAAAGCAGCTTGGAAGACCCTTGTTTTTCAGTGACTAGTTAGTGTCGGCCTCCTAGTAATCTCCAGGTAGAGGTTCTCCAAATTTTGCTGGTTACCATGGAAAATCCAACAATTCTTGTGTTATTGGAGATTCGGGGACTGTTTAGAGAAATATGCTGTTCATGCAGGTATGCCATCAGTTAGCAGTAAAGCGGTGGTTCCCCACGTTGCACCCAAGCTGGCAAACACGGGCAGTATTTGAGCAGGCTTCGGAGGAGGAAAGTGGTGGGAGTTTACTCCTCCTTACACTGCAAAGTGTTTGCTTTGCTCATTCAGGAGGTGTGTTGAGGGTGACAAAAGTCCTGGGCACCGTGTGTGTGTTTGCAGAGGAGCTTGTGTGGACTTGCTGCGCTGTGGAGGGGACCTGAGCACCACGGGCTTGTGCCTGTGGTGGCGAGAGCCGTTCGGGTCACTGGGGTGCTGGCTGCGTGCTCTGGTGAACTGAGCTGCCGTAGGTCGAGGAGTTCACCTTCTTCTGTATGCCTTGACCTTGCATCATGGCTGGGAAAATGGTGTACGTCTGTGTGTGGACGAGGTGGCTTGTGTGATCGGTGTGTGGTGTTTTCAGGGCAAATCCTGTCCATAGCATAAAATACGAGGAGCAGTGTTGGGCTGTCTTAAATCCAGAGCGCTGGTGGTTACGTTTCTTTTATAAAAGATTTAATACACTTTGGGCCAGTGTGTTGTACGTGGCCACACACAAAAAATGAGCTGTAGCATCCCAATACACTTATTGACCCTGGTCCTCCCCAAATCCCCTCGTCTCCAAGGAGAAAAGAAAGCCTTGAGTGGTCTTTGAGGAAGTGGTCTAGAGAGCACTTGTTCATGGGGAAGGGGCTGTGGAGCAGCGTCCTTTCACAAGCCTTGAGCTCCTCCAGCAAGCTGAACCCTGCCAGCCTGCAGAGGAGAAAACCGGCACTGCCAGTGCCAACCTTGGGGGCTCTCCTCCTGATCCTGTTCACTCCGGTGCTGGTGCTCCAGCCAGGGATGGCCAGTTTTCTGCACCGGTTTTCTCACTGCCTGGTGCTGGCAGGAGCGCAGGGCTGGCACAGCTGGCCAGGTCAGCTACACAGGAATCTGGGGGCATCACCTGGGGCAGGCCTGGCATCCCAAAGCCATGCGAACATTGGTCAAGCTATAATGCTAATAATGACTGCTATCAGAGAGCAATGCTTTCTTCATTTGACCAGATGGCTGTGTTTAGAGGAGCATTTTTTGGGTTTGTTTTTTTTTTTTTTTAATGGGAGGAAGAATGCAATTGTAGTATGTCTTGTATTTCCTAGGTTCCAAGGGAGAGGAGATCTTCGACAGCTAAACCAGAGGTAGAACATCCTGAGCAAGACCATAGCAAAAGGTATTAGTTTTTATTATTGTGTGTCTGCTTATCTCCCTTCCCTCCTAGACCACCAAAGCTGCTGAAGAAAAGTAACTTGCTGCACTGCAGTGTTGTGCTGGAAGAGAGAAATTGTTTGCTTTTACTCTGTGCCCCGAATTCCTCTGCTACCCCAGGAACAGGATGGGGGTTGGACCATGATGTGGAGAGCTGAGGCCCAAACTGCTTTTCATTGCCATCCATCTGCTTTCTATGTACTGGTGTTATACAGTCAGCGTAGCAAAAGCTGCTCTTGTTAATGCTAGGCACAGCCTGGTAGCACAGGCACCCCTTCCCAAGGCTGCAGAGGTGGCTGGTAACCCTTTTATTTTTGCATGCAGTTGCATCAGTTGCTCACTGCTGATTTTGTTCTCAGTCACCAGCAGCACTGCTGCTTCGTGCACGGGCTGATAGGGAAGGAGTTCAAAGTGCTTGTGATTTAGTTTTGGTTTTGTGTTGTTTGTGGACTTCTTTTGTATCCTCTGGAACTCCTTTCTTTCTTCCTTTTCCTGCCCTCCCTCTCTGGTGCCTCCCAAGCAAAAGAAGATACTGATTAAGTAAATATTATGAATGTGAGGTTCATTCAAGCCAGGCTTCCACTCCTACCATCCTCTTCCTTTGGACAGATTAGAATGCTTTAAGGACTTGAGGTGAGGTTTTGTGGTCTGGCTGAGCCAATTGAATGGCTTCTTGTTGAGAAGAGTGGTCTGGTTCCCAGCCACGTGTTCCTCCTGCTCCCCTCATACCAGCTCTGGTCTTTCACTGACCCATAACCTAGCAGGAAAAAAAGAAGTGGCTAGTTTTCTTCCAGTGGAACAAGCCAAACTGGCTCACCAGGAGGACAGGGGAGCATCTGAATTGGTGCAAAGAAGAGGGCAGGACCACGTTGTCGGGAGGGAGAAAGGGAGGGCAGGCTGACTTAGTGGCTACTAGCTATGAGGTCAGCTTAGCCACAGATCTCAGCGTCATTCTGGCAGAAATTAATGTGGTGGGGTGGAGAGTGTGAAGTTATGCAAACCACTCCAGGGAGTCTCAGTGTGGATTTTCTTGGGGGTTTGTGCATGAAAGAGGGGTGTAACTTCCCTATTAGTGCTTCCCGGGTGGTGTGCAGTCCTAGGGCAGAGGAACAGCAACCTTGTTCTCAGTCCTTCTCCAACCGCCAAAGAGCAGTTTCATGGAACCTGTGTGTGCTGATGCGTGGTGAGAAGGGCCTCAAAGCGCTTAGTTTTGGACCACTGTTTTCCAAGTAGTGAGAATCTGGGCTGTGAACCCTCACCCTTTGCTCCAGGGTAATTCATCTCCAAGGTGGGGTTGCTAGCAGTGGGTGAGGTTTCTTTTTTGAATGACTCTCAGCTTTTCAGGTTAGGAGTGAGCTGTTTTGCAGAAGGAGGGGAGTTGGTATCGGCTGTCCTTGTCCGAAAGGCTGAGAAGTATTTCTAGCTCTTGTTTCATGAGGAAAATGAGCTGTATAATTTATGCATGATTTTTTTTCCTTGTCCTTTAAAGGAACAGCATCCCAAACGTGACAGAACAGTCGCTTATTTCTGCTGGAGAAAACAGAGTCCAGGTTCTGAAAAATGTGCCTTTCAATATTGTCCTTCCACACACGCCCCAGATGGGCATGGACAAGAGAGGCCACCTTACAACCCCTGACACAACGGTCACCGTTTCAATTGCCACGATGCCCACCCATTCCATCAAAACGGAGACGCAGCCCCATGGCTTTGCAGTAGGCATCCCACCAAGCGTCTACCACCCCGAGCCCCCCGAGCGGGTGGTGGTCTTCGACAGGAACCTCAATCCCGACCAGTTCAGTTCCAACACCCAGCCTCAAAACTCCCAGAGGCGAACGCCAGACTCCACCTTCTCAGAGACTTTCAAGGAGGGCGTGCAAGAGGTACCAAGAGAGGCAGTCGCTGTGTGTGTGTGCGCGTGTGTCTTGATCTGGATGGAGAGATCCAGTTCCATCTTTAATTGTTCTTGTCACATGAGCCAGAAATCTGTCCAGTGATTCAGGAATAGACTTTCTCAGAAAGGTGCATAAGTATAATTTAGTAAATAAAACCTTCACAACATGAAATCATGATCGAAAGCAAGTGACTAATCTTACTAGTGACAGAGCCTTTGGCTTGCAGAGTGTGGAAATAGTTCTCTCGCTCTGCAGCAGTGGGCCAGGTTTTGCAAGAGTTCAGCACTCCTCAGTGCCTTTGCAGGTACCAAAGTGAAGTGACTATGTCTGTAAGCTTCCTTACTGCCAGTTTCTAGGTGTGGTGTGTGTCAGTGGAAAACAGCTGGTTTATTTAGGGGCCTTGAGTGAGAGTTAAACCTGGATGAAAATCTGTTTCTTGTTTCATGGTACCAACTGAAAACAACAGCGTAACCAGGTTTTGATTTTTAAGCCAGACCTCAAGGAACTGTGTAGCTAATGCCCTTTCTTTGAGATTTGGGAAAGCTTTAAAATGTTGCCCTAAGCTGACTCAGAAGGCTTGTGAGATGTTGTGCTTAGTTGACACCCAAAAGTTTTGCATTAAAACCCTGCTCAAGTGTTGTGTTTGTACAGACCAAAAATCAGTTGTTATCTGATGATGAATTTGCCTGTCAGAAGTTCTGTGGTAAAGAGTATCTGTTTAATCTTGACTTTTCTTGTTGCTGCTGTGTTAATTGTTGTGTTGTTTTGTTTTGTGTCTACCCCAGGTTTTCTTTCCTACTGAACTGAATCTCCGGATGGCCAACATGAATTCAGAAGATTATGTGTTTGACAGCATTTCTGGGTAATGCTTTAAGCCCCCTGCTTGCCTATATCCTCCTCTTCTCTTAAGTTGGCTTGTCCACGAGCAAGCAGTACAGCTCACTCCCGTCTGCACTGAGTCACTATCAGGCACTGGGGACGCTGTGGATCTCAAAACACAGTCGAAACACAACAGTGCCTGCTCGTTTGAATGTCACAGTTGAAAATCCTCCCTGTATCTTTAAGGAAAACTACATGCAGGGTTGGAAATACCACCCTGTTTCAGTCGATGTGCTTGTACCAACTCTCTGTCACATGGGAAGATGCAGTGCTGTCTGTCAGCTCTGCAGTGGTCTCATTGCTGGCTTCCACCTGTGTCCCTCTCCCTGGCCTGCTTGGCTTGTTTTACCCCTGTTGGAAATCTACAGCAGAAATAGGAAGCATGAAACTCATCTGAACTCCAAGGGAGGGGAATAAACTAGTTGTTTGGTTAGCTGCAGCTGACCAAGAGGAGAAGACCATGGCCACTGAATGGCTTATTATCTTGTGAATTTAATTTAATTGCTAATCAATACTTTTCTGTTCCATGAGAGCAGCTTGCTGCTCTTGGCCTGAATAGGGAGATTCCAGTCTTGCCTGCTGATGTATTTTGGAATTTAGCTTGCCAGGAACTTCTCTTAAATGTTCATTCATGAAGGAAATGGTTGAAAAAGGGGCTCATCCTGTTTTCCAACTTCCTTGCCTGTTGATGACTTAGTGAGTCAACTAACGACTTTGGAATTTCTCCAAATTAAATGTGGAACATTAAATCAGCTTTCCAGGAAAATGCCTTAGCAATCACTGCCCTCTTCGCTCCATAGGAATAACTTTGAATACACTTTGGAAGCCTCCAAGTCCCTCCGACAGAAGCCTGGGGACAGCACGATGACTTACCTGAATAAAGGTCAATTCTACCCAATCACACTGAAAGAAGTCAGCAGCAGTGAAGGAATCCATCACCCCATCAGTAAAGTCCGAGTGAGTGGCAGCTTTTGTGGTTTCTTGGGAAAGAGGGTGTGTACAATGGTAGCCTTGAAAACTCTCCCAAAGTGCAGTAATCTAAACCAGAGCATCAGCACTAAGGCCAGCTTACCTGCTCTCTTACGTCAGTATTCGTTCCTTTGCTGTCCACCTACTTCCAGACCAACCCATCCTGGCTCAGTCTGTTAAGAAGTGGTGTCAGCACTTGTGTAAAGGTGATGCAACACCTGGAATGAGATCCTTGAACTCCAGTTAGGAGAACAGTTCTGCTCATCTCTGTTTATGACCCAGAAAACCCTGCTGTGTGCCTTCCTCTTTGGCAGCAGTGTGCCAGGTATACTGCAGTGCAGTTGGAAAGCCTAAAGCAGAAAACCTGATACCAAGGAGAACTTCCAAAACAAATGTACTCTGTGGCCTTTTCTCTTTCACGTGTTTGCGTTTATTTTATTTTTTTTTTAATCTTGCCCTGTCACCCTCTCTTTTCAGAGTGTCATCATGGTTGTGTTTGCTGAAGACAAAACAAGAGAAGATCAGCTCAGACACTGGAAATACTGGCATTCAAGACAGCACACAGCCAAACAAAGATGCATTGACATAGGTAAGGAACATTCTCATTGCTGATGTCAAACTCGAAACCTAATTCCTTGGCAAGGTTTGGTTTTCTGCTAAAGCTTTGTTGTTTTAAGGAACCTATGGATCATGCTCTCTGCTATCCATAGCTTTGCTGAAAGCCTGGAGAGAGCTTTTGATTGCTTGGAGCTAATGCTGTAGTTTTTAGGACTCCTTAAAGAGGCTGATTTGTGGAGGATTTTGGTTGGTGAGCAATCTGAGTTTAGGGTTTTGCATTGGCAGATCTGATATCCCCCCTCCAAAATACAGTTGCTTTGGCATATCCTGGTGCTTGTAGCTAAATCGCAGCTTAGAGACTCTGTGGCTGTCCCAAATACTGTGTTTCTTCAAAGGACAAGATCCTCGTAGAAATACCTCGACACTAATGATCCTCCTTCCCACAGCTTCACTCACAACTTGTCTTTGGTACACATAAAAAAAAGAAAACACTGCAAATTTCCACTTGCCTCCAGACAAGGCTGGGGCTGGCTGGCTTCCAGCCTTCTCTGGCTGAAGGCTGGGTTGTACTCCTAGTCCCTTCCTTCTGTGAATAAAAGCAGGGATTAATCGCTTGGCACTTAAAGCAGACGCGCATGCAAATCTTTGTTTGTTATTGAAGGAGTTTTATTGAGAGCTTATGCCCTTGCCATAAAGGGTAGAGTTTCCCGCACATAGCAGGCTATGGCGCAGGACGTGGGATATTTGGGATGTCTGCCTTTCTCACTGGCGTTTCTAGTTTCAAATTTCTGCCGAGTCCCGTTTTCCTCCTCCTTCCTGTTTGTTGTATTTTGTTTTTGTACGAGGACCATTTCCAGCCTTTTTAATGATTCATTCTTAAGTACAGTTCAGCTTCTTTTGCCCACCAAGGGGTTGCTGAGGAGTTGTGGTTTCTGGCTGCTTTGTGTGATTAAGGACTCCAGATGTTATCGCCTCTTCCTCTCCCTCATGTATCCTTCTTTCTAACAGCTGACTACAAGGAGAGCTTCAACACCATCAGTAACATTGAGGAGATCGCGTACAATGCCATATCCTTCACTTGGGACATCAATGAGGAAGCAAAGGTATGTGACCACGTTTATATTTCCTGTCCTTTTAGCAGATTCAGGGGTTGGAGGAGGGGAAGGGTGTGTGGCCTACCTGGTGATTAGCATGTAACAAGTTTGTTTACGCTCTTACATTAGGCCAAACCTTCTGGCTGTTTCTTAAGAGGGTTTGCATGTGCAACTGTTAAGAGCTTTGCAACTGCTTTAAGGTTCTTGGCAGAACTGCCTACCTGACAGACAAGTACTGACAAAAGGAAGCGCCAAGCGTTTCCAGAGCAGATGAAGTGGTGCGGGAGGGGTGATGGAGCATAGCTGGGCTTGGCAGGGAGCACGGTGTCTTGGAGGATCCCTGCGGGAGGCGGGGGGGCATCGTGGGGTCCCCCGGGGGGGGGGGGGGGGGCAGCCACTGAGGGAGTTAAGGCTGTGGCAAGGGGCTTGCCTTTAGCAGAAGAGGGAGTAGCTGCTGCCATTGAGCTCCCAAAGCACGTGTTGCTGAAACCGCAGATCCCAACACCCAGTGACCTATTTCAAGTTAGAGCAGCCTCCTGGTGAACTCTAATATGATCTTTTTTCAGAACTGTTGAGCACTACAGTAGATGTGTAAGTATGGGTAGCTTCCCTAGCTTGTAGCAGCTAGAAGCCACTCCAGCTTTTGAAAAAGGTCTGTGTATCTTCTGGGTGCCAGGACAGCAGGTCAGAGAGCGGAGCCATCTCCATTCCAAAGGCATTTCCCACCAGTTTGTTGCTGGAGTCAAAGTGCAAGAGTTTTCTTTGGAGAGTTTTGTTACTTCCTGGGTTTTTGTTAAAAATCGGGAACAGTTTCCTTCAATTTTTGGAGGCTTGCTGTTCCCTTGCTAGTACGTCACGTGCTAGTCACCAGCATCATAGAATCATGGGGAAAACTACTGGTGGCTGCAGAATGCCATGCCTCGGGAGAGGCCTAGCTTAGGGGACATAGGAGCTCTTGGCAGACAATGCAAAGGTCCTCTGGAGATGTGTGCACCACTGTGTTCTGCAGGAGGCACAAGGGGTGGTGTCACTGCACAGAGCTCACTGTCACCACAAGCTTTACTCTGTGCAGCACAAAAGCTTTGGAGAAAAGAGAGAGGGAGGGGTTGTGTGGGGGCTGCTGTTGGGTTTCAGCTCTGTGGGAGAAGTTTGGGATGCTTGGCAGGCAGCAGCGAGGAGCTGTGTGTGCTGCTGATGAGAGAAAGTTCTGCCTTGCAGCATATGTGACATTACTTCTGAGGCTGGTGTTGGGTGCCAGGCTTCCCTGTTCACCAGATTTGGCTTCAGTCGGGTTGAGAGGGATGGCAGGGAGGGCCTTGCCTGCTGGAGGATGCTAAAAGGCCGATGTGATTTTTGAAGCATGAAGCACTTCGCTGTGTAAACAAACAGATGAAGCTTCAGAAGGGCTGTCAAAAGGAGGCAGTAAGTATTCCCAAAATGGTATCCTGCTGCCATAGCCAGTCTGACATTGTCCCGTTCATGGAACTCTGGTAATTTGTGTCTGTGAGGTACTTGAGGGCTTAGGATTTGCATGTGGGGATGGCTCATGCAGACAGAGCCATGATTTCAGGTCCCCAAGGAGTCGGAAGCATTTTGCAGCTCTGCAGCTGCCTCTCTGCTGGCTGAGCCATCCTACAGCAGTAGGGATGGGCTGCTAACCCAGGAACAGGGCTTAGAGCTCGTGCTGAGAACCCTGTGGCTGCCCCAAGGAAAGCCATCCCTTCCCACCAGGTGACAAGAGCCCAGCCCTATGAAGCAGGTGGTTGTTGCCCAGGTGCTCTACAGACCCCTGAATGAGTAGTTGCAGTCCATAGTGAAATCACCAATAGCAGCTTGAAAAGGCACAAGGACCCTCAAGGTGGTATTTCAGCTCAGAGTTGAACTTCATGGGATGACGTGTGGGGAGGTGTAACCCAGACTGGTTTTGCAGCTACATAGGCAAATTTACCTCCAGATTCACAATCTTAGTGTGTGAGATCCATATACTCTGAGTATGGATTTGTATGAACCTGCAGAGAGTACTGTTGATACCAAGAGTGCAAGCCTAGGCTCCTGGGATCAGAGTCATATTAAAACAAAAAATACTCTGGAGTTCAGTGTTCAAAGAATTGGCGTTTTTAGCAAGTGCTCTGTTTAGGTGTCTGTTTAACTTTTTTTTTTTTTTTTTTTTTTTTTTCTCCTGAGTGGATGTGTTTTGTCAATGGTTGGATATCTCACCAGTAGAGCTGCAGTTCTTTCTCAACTCTTGTGATCTTATCAGGAGATGCCTGAGCCAATTTCAACAATTTTTATTGCATGGTTCATTTATCTTGCATGCTCGCTCTCTTTATCCCCCCCCGCCGCCCGCAATAGTCTTGAAGTATATGAAGAGAGCAGGCAACAAAGAGAGCCAAGTTTCTGATGCTACAGAAAGTTCTACACAGTAATAAATACAGCGTCTTACATTTAATAACAGCAGCAGTGTTGCATAGGTGATATGTTTAACCAGCTAGAAAGCCTTGATTTTAGAAACTTGCTCCCTGAGCCCTAGAGTCACCTGGACCAGAGCCAAATGAGTCTTCTGGGGTTGCTGCTTCTCCCATTTACCTCTTGCTCCCAGTTTGCTGTGGGAATGATTTGGTCCTGTGCAGCAGTGTCAAACAGGAGGTGATGAGGCTCTGCATCGGGGGTTTCTGATGTAATTACTCATTTAGGTACCTGGGGCTCTGGGTGTGTGTCAGATTTAAGGGAGAAATAGCATATTACATTATTATAATAGAAATTACCCCTAGCAGCTGTGGGACCAGGTACTTGCCCTTCTTGTGCTAGCCCTCATTGTGGGGATGTACAGGAATATAAGACCTCTGATGCTTTGTCAGGAGGGTGTCACCTGCTTGAGAGACTGCTTTGCCAGTCCCTTTGGGGTGCTTCAGGGTTTTTGTAAAATACAGCTTTCTGGTAAAGAAACACTGTTTTCAGGCAATACGAGTCATGTGCTCACTCTGTAGCAAGGAAAATGTGTGGATTTTGCAGCTGTGGAGTTGGGGAATGGAAAGGATGTTTGAGATGCTCTCAGCAACCAATATTTCCCAGTTGCATTGTGCTTGGAGAGCTGAGGGCAACTCCAGGGCTTTGGATGCCAGATGCAGCAGGCAGGTCTGGCTCTGCATGGATGGAGTTGTCACACAGCTGGCTGTGTTGGCGTGCTGTTTGTGAGCCCGTGTGTGTAGAAACCGGGAGTATTTCATGCATGACAGACACTTCCCACTCTGGGATCAGACAGTGTCCATGGGTTTCGGAGCAAATGCTGTGTGCTTCTTTCTGGCAGCTCCTCTCTGCCCTCTTCTGTTGCTTTGGGACATCACAGGAGCTGCTAGAAGCAGCTGCTTTATAGAAGAGTGATGGGTTAAGTATTCTCTGACCTTTGGAAGAGTGTGTTCAAGCTGGAAAAGGGCCCAGGAACCAAAGTCTACTTGCTCTGAGACAGTGAAGGGAGCTGAGGGTGGGGAGGAAGGCCAGGCTTTGAGAGGGAAAGACTGACTGCCCTGAACTGTTGCTCCTAAGATTGGAAGGAGAGCCGAGGGTAGGGTTAGAAGGATTGACAGGAGACACTGTGGAGTGGGGAAGCGGTGATTCAGGTGGGCTTGAACCGTGTTAGAGGTGAGGTCTGACCCCAATCACCTGACAGACCAGGGGAGGGGAAGAATTGGATGAGGAGACAATCATGCTTTGTGAAAAGAAAGGGGGGAGATGGTCAACTGGGAAATTAGTTGATGAACTGGTGAGTTGTTGAATGGGATATTTAGGAAAGCCAGTACAGCTACTCAGTCAGGAGCCATCCTGGCTGGGTGGAAGCGTGGTCCGATGAGTCTGACAAAGATGTGTAGCTGATACTCGCTTGCATGCAACAGGTAATGCCAGAGTTACCCTGAGGCTTGTGGAGACTTCAAACAGTTTCCCACCCTGTCCTGGATGTCTGCTGTGTTGGGCAGACAGTCGAGGTGGGGTTCTTCTGCTGCAAAGAAGCTTTTAGATGTCTGAACACAAGCTCGTCATCTTTTGCTTCTATGACTTCATTAGGGATGGGGTGTCTAGAACTGGGATAGAGCTTCTTCTGGAGGCTCCTGCCCCTCCTCGATGACTGAGCAGGCTTGGCCATCTTTAAGATCAGGGGATTTTGAAGGTAGGGAAGAGGAATCCTATCCTTGCAGCCCTTTTTGTGTCTTTGACCTCCATATGTCAATCAGGAGAAGCATTTGTAGGTTCAGGTCATGAGTTTTTGAGGCTGGGAACCATCTCTTTCCAGGTCTGTACAGCATGCCCAGTTCTCCTTCTCTTGGTTGGTACCCATTAGAGGCCTTTTAATGAAAATTGCAACTGCGTGCATGGTTAAGTGCACATTTCTTTTGCGCGTTTCCTGCTACTCTTCATAATGCTGGCCATTGTCCTGTTACCTCTGTTGTGTTACCCGTTAGGCTGTGAAGCAAATTCTCTATGCCTTAACTTTGGCCTGCGGACATGGCCTGCTCTCAGGTCAGTGGCAGTTGAACAATCTGGACAGATCAGTTTCCCCAGGGTTAACTGGCTTTGCTGGATCCCGCTTTGTTCAAATCCCGTCTGAGCTCCTGCCTCGTGGAGCAGGAGGGTTGAGGCCTCATGTCTGAACAGAGCAAGGTGTTGTCTGCACAGTGATTACAAGAGCCTTGTTGCCCCATTTTTGTAGTCCTAACAGTGCAAGGACCCTGCTGTTGTGCTGGGGCACCCGTTCCGTGCCTGCCAATGGGTCACTTTTGAAACGTAGCGTTGCTTCCAGCAGCTTCCAGAGAAGGGCCCCTGTGGAGGTGGTCTGTTTGGCTTGCTTTAGGCTGGGTGGTGGGACTGTAGCCAAAAATGATGTCACTGCACATTAAGGGCTCTGTTGTCCTCCCACTCCTTCCCTCCAGGAAGAAAAAAAAAAAAGCAGCATTGTAAGCCAGATGCTCTGTGTGAAAAGACCCTTTCTACTAAAAAGGGATACATGGTGAGGGTGT